CAGTGAGTTTGGTTTTTTTTGGAGCTACATATTATGTACCAATGGCTGCGTTTACTGTTCAGTGAATACACTATATCTGCAACCCCTGAAGCCATTGTCATATCCAACTGATTACATTTATGACATCTACATTCATACAAAAAGAGGATATGTTTAAATAATCACCTCTGCATCATACAAGTTTACCTTGGTATCATTAATCTTTTAAATTCTTCAAGAGATAAGGTATGCTTTTTGTTTACTATATTGGAAATGGTGGAGTCTAAAGGTCTTTATTGATTGTGTCAAGAAATTAAATATGGACTTTTTTCAGTTATTTTTTTAAAAAATGCTATAGAGTCAATTCAGACTAATGGCTACCCCATATGTGTCAGGGTAGAACTGTGCCCCATAGGAATTTTAATGACTGTTGTTCTTGGAAGTAGATTGCCAGGCTGTTCTTTCAAAGTACGTCTGAGTGGATTCAAATTTCCTACCTTTTGGTTAGCAGGCAAGCACTTTAACAATTTGCACCACCCAGGGACTCCTTTCAGCTATTACATATTATGTATTTCCACTGTGTAATGGAAAACAGAGGAGCTCTGATGGCGTAGTGTGTAAAGCATTTGACTGCTAACCAGAAGGATGGTGGTTCAAACCCACCAGCCACTCCTTGGAAGGAAAGTTGAGCGATCTACTTCCATAGTGATACTGCCTCAGAAACCCAAGAAGGGGTCGCTATGAATCGGATCTGAATCAATGACAGTGAGTAATGGAAAACAGATTCCAACTATCATCTGATCTTTATAAACCTCCATTCTGCCCAATGGATCATGCTGGCATTTTTAGGTCTCCAGGGATTAGCTTCAGTTCAGAGCAAGTACATAGCAACTGCTAGAAATTTAGGGTTATTTCCATGTCCACAGTGGTAAATAGGGAAGGCACAGGAAAAATTCCAAGTACACATCTCTCGAAACAATGCAAAGTTTTTTCTCTAAAGGACATGGATGCTTTGTCATTTTTGGCTTTGTTCTGCTTTGCACATAGAAGAAAGTCTAAGATTTGCTCTAGACTCATGATGGAACCTAGGGTATTTATCTCTAGTTTTCACTGGGAGAACAACTTAACTTCATGTGCCAATCTCAAGTGTCACTTATCAAATTCCTGCACTAATTTGTCATTTCCAGACCAATGTATTGGAACACCCTAATGCTCAATCCTCAATCCTCAGACCTCTTTCTTTACATTCCTAAATGACCTCAACTAGTTCCATGGCTTCAAATGCCATCTATATCTGGTAATTCTTTTCTGTATGTGAAAATACACAACAAAAAGTACACTATTTCAATAATTTCTACAGGTACAATTAAGTGATATTGGTTACATTCTTCAGGCTATGGCACCTTTCTAGACAATTTTTCTCACTATCATTGACACAAAGTCACTGCCCCCTAAACTTCTCTTTTATACTTTCAAGGTACTATGGTCAGTTTGATCTCATACAGATAATTCTTCAAAATGTGTATGAGCTGTTGAATAGAAAACCAATTTGCTCTATAAATTCCATTCAAATCACAATAAAAAGTTTTTTTAAAAAGCATAATGCATAATGCAGACAGTCTTTACTAATTAGGCTAAACTTTATTTGGTTCAAAGATGACTTCAGGGGATAATTTCAGCTCAGGGTTTAAAGATTTCTTCAGGGTAATCGGGGTCATCTGGCTTCAATGGCTCCAGAATGTCTGGATTTTATGAGAACTGTAATGTTTTACATTTTCTCCCTTTTGATCAGTATTCTTCTATAGAACACTTGATCCAAATATTCAGTAATAGTTGCCAGGCATCCCTCCAGTTCTTTTGGTCTCATGGCACAGGAGGCAGTTGTTCAAAGAGGCAGTTTGTCATATATTCCATTTTCTTCCTTATTCCTCTACCCTCTCTCTTCATCTACCAATGAATAGAGACCAATTGCTGTACTTTGGATGCCCACTCACAAGCTTTTAAGGCCCCGAGCACTATATAATTAACTAAGCCAAATGATTGTAATGTTTATATCTGGTGATGATTAAATTTCTCTCTCACACAGGTCCCTCCAAAGCTCCAGACCCATCCAGCAAACTGCCCTACTCCACATCTCCACTAGGAAGACTAAGAAGCATCTAACAACTTTGTATGGCCCAAACAGAACTATTCAGTCACTCATTTCCAACCCATATGTGCTCTCTCAAAAGTAAATAACAGCACCACCCATCTAGTTCCTCAGGTTATAAAAGGAAAAAGTTGTTTAAAACCCTCCAGTGTCTGCTCAATTAAATAGCATAAACTCAAAGACCCATTACCATATCCTTAGAAGTTGTTGTTGTTGTTGTTATATGCCGTCGAGTCAGTCCCGACTCATAGCAACCCCTCCTTGGGTTTCTGAGGCAGTATCACTATGGAAGCAGGATTGCCCAACCTTCCTTCCGAGGAGTGGCTGGTGGGTTTGAACCACCAGCCTTCTGGTGAGCAGTCAAGTGCCTTAGGCACTATGCTACTGGAGCTCCCAACCTTAGAAGGTTCTACATAATCTGAACTCTGTCCATCTCTCTGAGATAGCTCTATTCAACAATAACCTTCCCCATTCACACTATTCCAGGCCCATTGACCTTTTTGTCTCTGTCTTCGGCCATTTATATTTCCTGGTCCTTCTGTTTGGAAAGCTTTTCCTTCAAGCAACCAAAGTGGGAATGTTGACAGTCATTAGTTAGATCTTTTCCACTTATGTGGAGGAGCTCTGGTGGCATAGTGGATAAGGCATCAGGCTGCTAACCAGAAGGTCAGTGGTTCAAACCCACCAGCCACTCTGTGGAAGGAAGATGGGGCGATCTACTTCCATGAAGATTTATGGCTTTGGAAACCCAATGGGGGGTCACTATGAGTCAGAATTGACTTCATGCAGTGAGGATTTTTCCCCCCTTTATAAATTCTTGATATGCTACCACCTTATCATCATTAGATCATTCAGATGGAAACTTAAGTTCGGGGAGGCCTTCTTGGACCACCCTAGCTAAAACCTAAGTGCATAGACCTGAATACAATTCTTATCTTATCCTATTTTATCATCTTCTTTATAATTTATCAGGACCTGAAAGCATCTTTATTATTTGTTTACATGTTTATTGGCTATGTCCACCATAACTTGTCTTGATCATGAAGAACCTTATAAGGACAGGGAAGGATCTGATTATGTCTTGTTTAGCTCTGGTGGTGTAATAGTTAAAGCATTTGGCTGCCAACCAGAACGTTGGCATTTCAAACTCACCAGCTGTTCTGCAGGAGAAAGATGAGGCAGCTTTCTTTCATAAAGATTTATAGCCTTGGAAACTGTATGGGGCTGATCTACTCTGACCTATAGGGTCACTATGAGTTGGAATCAGCTCAAGGGTAGTGGGTTTGTTTTTGGTTAATACATGTTAAATGAATCTGAATAATATGGAGGCAAGAGGAATGGAACCCAACCCAGCCTAACAGGAATGTGTGGGAAGAGGTTATGGGAAGAGGAAAGGTGCCATTAGGGAAGACTCCTTTGAGTAGAGTTAGTCCACAAAGGGAGAGTATGGTGAACGTGTGTGTGTGTGTGTGTGTGTAAAGGCATTCCAGGCAGATAGAACTCCCTGTGCTTAGGTATAGAAGTGCATGAGAATTGCTTGAGAACACAGTGTGAGGCTGGAGCAGTGTAGAGGGATCAGCTCATTCTATCAAGCTCAAACTGGAACGGATAGCCTGCTGTGATATAAAGCAAACCTGACCACCTGCTACTGAGTTAATTCTGACTCACACTGCCCTATAGGATGAGGTTGACCTGCCCCATAGTTTCCAAGGCTGTATATCTTTATGGAAGCAGACTGTCACATCTTTCTCTGGTGGAGTGGTTGGTGGGTTTGAACTACCAACCTTTCGGTTAGGAGCTGAGCACTTAACCCCTGCACACCAAGGCTCCTTGAAGGCATTAAATGATTCTAATAAGAAATCATTGCAGATGTGACAGATGCGTGGAAAACACTTATTATTACTAAAGTTGCAAGGTGTAGATGTTTTCCAAAATTTCAATCATAATTATTTCCCAGTTGGGAGAAAATGACTTTGAGCCTTTTTCCATTTTAAACTCTTTTAGAGTTCTTAAATTTATCTTCTAGCACTTAGAACTATTCTATCTAAACAAGTAAAAAACAGATGAAACATCAGACAGTTTGTACAATTGGACTTCAGACTTTTATTAGAACAAGCATTTCTCATAGCTATAAGCAAAGAACTAGAATTCATTAAACTAACTCTTGTATTTTCTCTCCCCCGCCACACACAAAACAGAACAACAATAACAAAAATCCTGTAGCTGTTGAGTCAATTCTGACTCATGTCAGAACACCCCATGTGTTACAGAGTAGAACTGCTCAATAGGGTTTCCTTGGCTGTTATTTTGCAGAAGTAGATTGCCAGGCCTTTCTTCCATGGCACCACTGGGTGAATTTGAACCACCAACCCCACAAAGAGGGCTGCAAAGGAAGAGTAAGCCATGTACCCATGTCTAGGTTCAGTAAAGCAGAGCGTCTTGGTGAATGATGCACTGAAGTTACAAATGTCTGAAGATTTTAAGGCACAGGAGTGCAGGCATGTGGTCATGAGGTGGAACAGGGTATAGTAAAGAATTCTCAATATCACCCCCAGCCTGCCCATTAGCCTCTCAGCTTAATTCCTTAGTTTCTATGGCAGGCACCTCAAGTTCAAGAAGGTGGACACAACATATTATTTCAATCCAAGACGACCCCAAAAATTTCATTTCTATTCCCAAAGCTTATTAGAAGATAAATGAACATTTAAATCAACTTGCCATTGCACTTCATGTAAATTATATCTCAATAAACCAGATTTTTAAAAATGCCTTTGTATTTTGTGCACTTCAAAAAGTCACTGATACAAATCACTAAAGAATTTGTTGAACACATTTTTGCTGTAATCTCCAGGCCTGATCATGTGGGGAGAAATTATTTTTTCACACCAATTGGACAGGAAACTCCTGTGCCCCCGAGTCCACAGTATCCATCAGGGTTCTTGCTCAAGTACTGCTGGTGGTAGTCTTCTGCGTAGTAGAAGGTCTGCCCCTCTCGGATGTCCGTCGTGATTGTACCGTAACCACTCTGGGACAGAACCTGTGCAGAGAAAGGAGTCTTTAGGGTGAGGTTGTTGAGCAGATATTGTCAGGACTGGAGGTACTGGGGGGCAGGGTTCTTGGTGATGCAGACACAGGTGGTTCATGTGGATAGTACTAGACTCTGCCCCTTCTCAGTGGGGTTATTTTGGGCAAGCCGCTTACCTCCCTGTGCCTAAGTTCACTGGGATTTGGTAGGATTTGTGACTCTGTAACTTGTGCTCTACTCACTACATTAAAGGTGGTACAATTGTATGTCGTGGACCCCTGCTTTGGACCCTGTTGATCTGTTTGAACCTGGTTCCAGTGGAATCCAGAGGAAGATTCCTCTGGAGTCTCCAGAGGAAACAGCAGATGTATGTACTTTCCTGGCTAATCCTGGGGAGAAAATGAGAGTCCTCTGAAGGCACTCAAACAGGACTGCAGTGGAAGGAAATAGAAAGGTACCCTGGAGCAAGAATGCTGGGGATTGAGGGAGATAAGAAAGGCTGCAGCCCAGCCCAGCTCTGTTGTACTCTGTCAGCTCAGGAAGAGACCCTGGCCCACTCACAGGTTAGCACTCCTGGAGCTGGACAGAGCACTTCCCTAGTCACTGTGGTTCTGGGGAGCAGGGACCTGGTTAGGAACCCCTGGAGATCAGGGGTCTTTTGGGGACTGTGCATGGCCACTCAAGGCCTGGGAGAGCCTGGGGGGGTCAGGTCAGGGGAGGACATGGCCTTAAGGGCCTGCGTCAGCTATCACACCTTCTCTGACCTAGTTTAAGTCCTTATGGTCTGGTGGCATCTGCTGCAATGGAAAGAAACAGAACACATAAACACAAGTAGGGGAGGACAGAGAGCTATTTGGGGCAGGAGACAGACTAAGAAATAGAAATTGTTCCCCCTATGGATTTTAGCCTGTTTCTTTTCCCTTTTGGATTTCAGCTGTGTCCTAATTCTTATGACAGGCTGCTTGGAGTATTTGAGCACAAGGCAACAGAGACTCAACTCCAGTTTCATGGATTCCGTTTGGTACAGAAGTGCAGGGCAGAGACCTGGACTTGGGTTTTTATAAGATAATTGACCCTCTGACTGCTGATCCTGGAGACAAAGTCCTCAAATCTGCCAAGCATGGTGAATATAATATTCAGCATTATTACACTTCTTTAGTTTTTCTTGAGAACTTTCTCCTTTTTTGTTTTTGAATTTCCATGCATACCTCTGAGCTAGAATGAGGCGGATACATGATCCAATAGCCAAGAAAGCCAGGAATGGTTGGGAATAGGATTCAGGCCAAAGAGGGTTTATTGGCGATCAAGTAGCTCAGAAACAGCCAGTGTTCTCAGAGGGGTTAGAAATGAGAATGAAAAGCCATTCTAACTTCACTTTTGATGATTTTTTAAAAACTACTACTTATTAAAGGTTTACCATATGCCACACTTTTGCTAAGACTTCATAAGTGTTAATTTTAGCCCCACAACAAGCATATGAAGGAAGTACTATTATTATCACCCACATTTAAGGTTGTATGTCAGATAGAAGGTTGTGTGTCAGGTGGCACATGACAGGGCAGTGTTTCGTTCTGTTATACACAGGGGTTGCTATGAGTCAGAGCCTGTTTGACAGCACCTAACAACAACAGCCAATGTCAGATATTGTTTCCTGATCTCCGGCATTCTAAGCTTGCCTTGGTATTACATAGGCTGAGAGCTTGGAAATAACATTTCCCAGATTCTGTTGCCAGTAACATTCTAGTTTAGACTCCATCAATGAGAGAAACTCATAGGAAATTTGGAAGGCTAAATAAAAGGAGAGGAGCCCTGGTGGTGCAGTCATTAAGTGCTTGGCTGCTAAAAGAAAAGTTGGCAGGCAGTTGGAACCCATCAGCCACTCTACAGAAGAAAGATGTGGCAGTCTGCTTCTGTAAAGATCACTGCCTTGGAAACCCTATGGACATTTCTACTTTTTCTATAGGGTCACTATGAGTGGTGGTTGTTATTGTTTTCTTTTTAATCAAATAAATAAATAAAAGGAGACACTATTATTTTTTCAGTCACAGCTGTGGGAATGGGCTCATATATCTGCATATAGCAGACCTGAGGCTTAACCATCCTCCTAAATCTCTCTCTGGGTCTGGAAGCAAAGAAAATCATTGGCAATGATTTTTTTTGCAATTTCTTTGACTGCTTGGTATCCTGATTGCTAGGAGTGATTTTCTCTGACCTTCATGACTTGATGGCACATAACAACAGCAACAACAACAATCACACCAACAGCCTTTCTATTGATTCTGTAAACACTGAATTCCCTATGTTAAATCCATGCTGCTTGAAATACCTAGAATACTTTCTGTTTCCTTGACTGAACTCTGGTTAACAGCATTTGGTACCAGAATTATTTCCAGGAAACAGAACCTAAAAGATGGTAATCAAGAATTGCTTAGCTGACATGGTTAGATTTAAAGTAAGGCAGAGCCTCCTCATTGCCAGTGGAAAAGGGACTAATGCCTTGCATGGTGTGTAGTGGCAAAGCATTAAACTAAATTAGCACCAGCATTTGTCTGTAAAGAGAAGCCTACTGAAGGAAGGTTTGGGGACACCAGTGGCTGCAGCAATGGAATATTATGGTGAAAATTCAAAGTCAAGGTCTGTGGGGTGTACTAGCCACTTCAGGCAGCATTAAAGAGCTAATAAAGACTATCACTAGTCCATGACTTATTATGGGCCAAGGCAAGGCCAGAGAACCAGAGAGCTTCTAGGAATTATTTGGAATAATCTCTTATCTCTTCTTGCTGTATCCAAATACCAAATAAAAAGTTTGATTCTGAGGGTCCCAGATTTGCAATGCAAGTAGAGTTCACACCTCCAACAGATCTAAAGTTCAGATAATGCACAATTCTGATTATCCTCTGAGTGCTCATCCACTCACAGTGTTTCAAATACCACCTATTGAGAGCATGTGCTTCGAGTTCCAACCAGAGATGCTCTACCCTGACACATACTTCCTGTCTACATGACTCTTTCATATTTTGGCCTCAAAAGTTTCCACACTATGGCCAAAGACTCAGAGCTTCCATCCTCTTCCCTGTGTCCTTCATCCCTCATATCAGGACCATAGTTCCCAGACCTGCCCCCATGCCTCTGCTCATTTTTCTGGTCCACCTCTATTCTCTTTGAAGGGGAACAGCACCATAGCAACCTCCTCACAGATCGCCTGTCTTCTCTCCTTTAAAATTGTGATTCTACTTGTATAAACAAGAATGGCCTTCCCCAGCCCAGGAATTCACAGTCATGGTCTCTGAGAAACTGCTCTAAAACAGTGTGCAGGGAAAGGGGATCCTACCAGAGACACAGACACTGAGCTTTGCCAATCAGTCTCTTCCTCCCCTGGCAGATGCCTCACAGGTCACAACGTCTGACACAAGCTCTCACCCAGTACCACTGCCTACACTTGCCACAATCCCAGAGTGAGGCGCAGCGCCAAGTAGTAGAGAGCAATGGCACAGGAAGTTGACAGGTGGAGGCCCAGTCAGTACCAGACCTTTGCCACAAGATGGCAGACAATTCACCTTTATATGAAGTGGAAAGAAAACATAAGCATAAACGGTAAAGAAAACCCACACAAGATGGAGCTACAAGCTGCTCTCCTACCTCCCATTAAGCTGGAACATTCTGAACTAGTCTTGCTAGGGTGGTCCATAAAAGCTGGGCAACCCGGGCTTTTGGGTAACACGGTCCCATCTGTACTAAATCATGCCTCCCAGCTGGGGCTGCCACTAAGCCCAGGCCTTTGCTAGCTTCCTTGGCTAGCCTCTCCCTTCCCCTCTGCACTAAAAGTAGGGGTTTTTACATGCGGTCAAGTTGGACCCAACTCACAGTGACCCCTCCTTGGGTTTCCGAGGCAGTATCACTAGGGAAGTAGATTGTCCAAGCTTCCTTCCGAGGAGTGGCTTGTGGGTTTGAACCACCAGCCTTCTGGTTAGGAAACAAGTGCCTTAGGCACTACGCAACCAGAGCTCCCTTACAACTAGTGGTGGTTGTTGTTGTTGTTATGTGCTGTCGAGTTGGATCCAACTCATAGTGACCCCTCCTTGGGTTTCTGAGGCAGTATCACTACGGAAGTAGATTGCCCCATCTTCCTTCCAAGGAGTGGCTGGTGAGTTTGAAACGCCAGCCTTCTGGTTAGCAGTCAAGTGCTTTAGGCACTATGCTACCAGAGCCCCTCAACTAGTGGTAGAGTAGGGCAAAAACAAGTGAAAGAAACTGGATGCCAAAGAAGAGGAAATAGGACAAAGAAAAATTATTATCTAGTCAGCTTTCTTTTTACTTCACATCCCCTGACTTCCCCCACTATCCTTGCCCTCTGCTTTCTCACTTTCATTTTCATAATATCAAGTAACCCCTCTCAGACACCTCCCAGGCCCTGCATCTTTCCTCTGTCAGGTCTTCCCAGACATACATATACTGGATGGAATGTAAGGGATTCTGTGGTAATTTGCCCTGTTTTTTTTGCCCCCCTCATTTGTTTGTTTTGTTTTTTTAGATCATATCTCAAGACTTTCAGTATTGCAGCTGTCATTTTTTAATTGCTCTTTCATTCCGCCCCTTTTACTGAGCCCTGCTATGTCCCTGGCAGAAAATATAGGGTTAAATAAAACATGACACCTCCCTCCAGAAACTTGCAGGCTTATTGATCTTCAAATTATAGCTCAGTCCAATTATTCCACATAGAAGCTGAGAGTATGTGCTAGTAATTCACCTCCTTAAACCAAGGAGAAGAAAACCTCTCCCTGGTCCCTTTGTTGTTGTTGTTATGTGCCGTTGAGTCAGAGCCAACTCATAGCAACCCCTTCTTGGGTTTCCAAGGCGGTATCACTATGGAAGTAGATTGCCCAACCTTCCTTCTGAGGAGTGGCTGGTGGATTTGAACTACCATTCTTCTGGTTAGCAGTCAAGTGCCTTAAGCACTATGCCACCAGAGCCCCTGGTCCCTTTGTTGTTGTAGTTGTTATGTGCCGTCGAGT